ATGCAATGCCTGAGGAGGTCAGAAGAAAGCATTAGAGTCCCCTGGAACTGAAGTTACACACATTGTTAGTTGCCATATGGGTACTGGGAATCGAACCCAGAGCCTCTGCTGAACCATCCTCCAGCCCCAACATGTCTTTTTTTAATATGTAAAACTTTTAAATAAAATGGCAACAAGAAATACCTAGAAGATATGAGATGGCGCGGCAGGTCAAGACACTTACACTGCAATCTAAAAACCTAAGTTCAATCCCTGGAAATCATATAAAGGTGGAAAGACAGCACTGACTCCCCAAAGTTATCCTCTGACTTCCACACACACACCATGGCATGTATGCCTTCCCCACATGGTACACAGGCCCATATATAATAATAAATAAAATTTTAAAAGAAATCTAGAAGAAACCTAAGAAGTGATATATTATGATGCTTTATTGTTACACATCCAGGAATCTGTCAGCATCATCTAGCACATCATCAAAGTAAAGAACATAAAACATCATTACAGTACTTACCAGCTCATGATTAGCATTTCAGAAAGAAAGAATTCCATCCTCATGCTTAAGAGACCTAAGAACCACAACAAAAGCAAATAAGCCTGCAACTGAACTCATCATAGAACAGCAGGGAAACAGAAGCTTTTAGAGAGAAAATCGTCTTCAGAGGAATGTCTCAATAGCAGATTTTAAAAATCCCAGTGTGCTGGATAGCTTTAGTGTCAACTTGACACACCTGGGTTGAGGGAGCGTCAATTGGGGAACTGCCTTCATTGGACTGGCCTGTGGCCATGTCTATGAGGGCACCTTCTTGATTGTTGAGTGATGTGGGTATATTATGGGTGGTGCCACCCCTGGCAGGTGGGCCTGTGTTGCATAAGAAAGCAGGTTGAGCAGGGACCAGGGGAGCAAGCCAGTAAATGGTGTTCCTCCATGGCCTGTGCTCCAACTTCTGCCTCCAGGTTCCTGCCCTGAGTTCCTACCTTGGCTCCCTGATAAACTGACCCAGGAGATGTAAGGTAAAGTAAACCCTTTCCTCCCCAAGTTGGTAGTGGTCAGAGTGTTTTGTCACAGCAATGGAGAGACAAACTAGGACACCCAGGAATTGGGGGCTGGAGAGATGGCTCAGCGGTTAAGAACACTGTTCTTGCAGAAGACCTGGGTTCAAATCCCAGCACCCACATGGCAGCTAACAACTGTCCGTAACTCCAGTCCCAGGGGATCCAACAGCCTCTTACCTACATGCACACAGTACATGCATACACATAAAATAAAAATGATAAATAAAATATCTTTTAAAAATCCCAGGAATTATATTTGGAAACAATGAGTAAATTTGATATAATGGCCGTGGGTGATACTATAGTTAATATCCCATAATATATCTCCATTTCAAGCATGCAGAGTTTTCAATGGGCTATAAATCTCAACAAAGGTCAAAGGACTGAGATCATGGGCAGTACATTCTGCAACTGCCAGGCGATTAACTTAGAAATCACTGAAAAAATTACCTTAAAAAATCTCCATGTTCAAATTTTTTTTTTTTTCTGGGCCTCACTAGGTAGTTCAGGCTACTCTTGAATTTGTAATCCTCTTGCCTCTGCCTCCAGATTGCTGGAATTATGGACATATGCCATCACACATAATTCCATGTGGGGAATATTTAAGTACACATGTCCATGGGTCAAAAAAGAAACCAAGGGGCTGGAGAGATGGCTCAGTGGTTAAGAGCACTGGCTGCTTTTGCAGAGCGCCTGGGTTTGTTTCCCAGCATCTGCATGGCGGCTAACAACTGAGATGGCCAAACTGACTCCATTTTGCTCTAGCTGACTTTGGCTTTACCCTGTTTTTTCCCAGCCAATCCCACTGCAGCCAGCCAGGTAGAAGGTGTCATGCAGGCAGTTTCAGAGAGTACATTGTTTCTACAATACTGGGAAACTTACAAGTAGCCAGGTAGTACTCCCCCACCCAGCCTAACTAAAACTTATTATTAACTGAAAACCTCTTTGTTAACTGATTTGGCCCCAATCTAGTGTAACTATGGTGATCTGGTGTAACTGTGGTTATTCGCTTTGCCCCTGGAATGATGTAATTATGGTTTTAAGCTTTATAAACCTGGTTTCCCATCTTGTTTTGATCCAGTATTTCCTCACTCTGCCTCTATTCCTCCCTTTTGGAATGGGACTCTGTATTTGGTTCCACTGTATGTTGGGAATATATAGTTTGTCTTTTGATTTTAAAGGGAAGCTGTTAAGAGAGTGCCCTGAAGTCTCAAAATAGACTTTGGTCCATGGACTTTTGAATAGTATTGAATCTGGTAAAGACCATGGGGACTTTTAAGGTTGAACTAAATGCATTTTGCTTTTTAAAAAAATATATATGAAGAGGATAATCCTTTTTAACTATTTCATTTATTATTTTTATTTTATGTGTATGAATGTATTGCCTGCATGTATGTGAGTGCACCCGTGTCGCACAATGCCCAGAGATCAGAAGAGCGATTCAGATTCCCCTGGAACTGGAGTTAAGGATGGTTCATAGCCGCCATGTGGGTGCTGGGAATCGAACCCGAGTCCTCTGCAAGAGCAGTCAGTGCTCTTAACTGCTGAGCCATCTGTCCAGCCCCTGTATTTTGCTTTTTATATAGTCATGAACCCATGGGGCCCATGGAGTGGAATGTGGTGGATTGAATGAGAATGTCCCCCATAGGCTCCAAGTATTTGGACATTTTGTTTCCAGTTGGTGGCACTGTTTTGGGAGGTCTTAGAAGGTGTGGCCATGCTGGCAGAAGCATGTCACTGGTGGTGGACTTAGAGAGTTCTTAAGCCTTGCCAGATCTCCAATTGCTCTGTTTTCTGTGCCCAATTGAAGATGTGAGAGCTTAGCTTCTGTTTCTGCTCCAACCACCTCTGCCACTATGCTGCCCCACCATGATGGACCCTTACCCCCTTGGAACTGTAAGCTAAACTCTTCCCTTGTAACTAATACAGTCCCCTCCTGTGATCCAGCTGTGGTCATTGTGGAACTGTGGTCCCCTCCCATGAGCTGGAGCTGTAGTCTTTTCCTGTGAACCTGGAGCTGTGGTCCCCTCCAGTGAGCCCAGAGCTATGGTCCCTTCATGTGAACCTGGAGCTGTGGAAACATCCTGGGAGTTGGATGGATGCCCCCCAACCCATGAGCTAGAGTTGTGATCTCCTGTGAACTTGAGCTGTTGTCCCCTCGCATGAGCCTGAAGCTTTGGACCCCTACCATGAGCCACAGTTCCACATTCCTGTGGTGGTGGACTGATGGTGGAGCAGAGTAGAGCATGGAGGACTTCCTGATGTTTGGTAGCAGTTTCAGTCTTCTCTAAGTGACTACATTCCCCACAACCCTTTCCCCTGAGGTCCCAGGTTGTGCATGGCAGAGGCTTTGCCTTTTGCTGGGGATAGGGGAAGCCTCTGTTATTTGCAGATTCTGGTCTTGGGAGGACTGATTCTCTGGAATAGAGCTCTCACCTCCCCTGAGGCCCAGCTGTGGTCCACACTCCACATGTGGCCCTGGGCATCCAGGCCTTGATGTTGGACCTCTCCCACTACCAGGCACCAGAAGTTTTTCATTATTTTTCCATTACTCTTCTACAGCCCCAGTGTGCCTTCACCCATGCCCTAACTGAACTTCTAGAGATAAAAATCACATTCTAGGAAGTATGAAAAAAAAAAAAAGAAATAGAACTGTAATAACTAAGATGATATAATTCTCAAACTAAAAATATGTGATTACGCCGGGTGTGGTGGCACACGCCCTTAATCCCAGCACTTGGGAGGCAGAGGCAGGCAGATGGTTGTGAGTTCAAGGCCAGCCTGGTCTACATAGTGAGTTCAGGTCAGCTGGGACTACAAGGAGACCCTGTCTCAAAAAAATGTGATTAGATTATATTTTAGAATATAAACTTGATATTCTATATGCCTACTATAATTTTTGAATATTGTTGACAAAACTACTACCAAGCTTCAACAATAATGTGAAATTTGTCACTGTTCCTATAATGTGAGTTTGCCATTCACTCCCTTTCCAAATTCTCCAACCTATACAAAGTCTTTCAATGTAATTATATTACTTCGTGAAGAAAATAATGCTAATGTACAGCCACAGCAGGCAGGCTTTTAGGAGTTCATGGCCCTGAACCTGGTCGAGTGTCCCTCCTTGAAGATGAGAATGTTACAGTCACCAAGGAGAGTGACAGTACCTGAAACCTCAGACTGCCACACCAAAAAGTCCAACTTCCTCCAACATGGCAGGCAAGAAAATGTTTATTGTCTATGCACATTAAGAATCCAAGTCCTTCCATTGGGTCCCTGAAGAAAGTGGCTATTGATGAACTGAGGAAACAGGGCTGCACAGTCACTGTCTAATTTATATGCCATGAACTTTGAGCCAAGGGCTAGAAGAAACAGTATCACTGGTGGTCTCTCTAATCCTAAAGTCTTCAGTTATGGGGTGGAAGCATTGAAACCTGCAAAAAGAACTCTGACCAGTGACATCCTTGAAGAACAGCAAAAGGTTCAGGAAGCTGATTTAGTGACATTTCAGTTCCCACTATACTGGTTCAGTGTGCCAGCAATCTTGAAGGGCTGGATGGACAGGGTTGCTGTGCCAAGGGTTTGCCTTCGACCTCCCAGGCTTCTGTGTCTGGTGTTCTTAAGGATAAATTAGCCCTCCTTTCCTTAACCACGGGAAGTACAGCTGAGATGTACACAAAAACTGGGGCCAGAGGAGATTTCCGGTGGCTGCTCCAGCATGGTACATTCCCCTTCTGTGGATTTAAAGTCCTTGCCCTGCAGATCAGTTTTGGTCCTGAGGTTTCATCAGAGGAAGAAAGAAAAACAATGTATCATGGGCCCAGCAGCTGAAGAGCATCTGGAAGGAAGAACCTATCCAGTGTACACCCCCTTGGAACTTTAGGGAATAACACTTTATGCTCTAGGTACAGCATGTAAATAACATACTAAGAGATCCAAAGCATATGCAAGGAGAAGAGGGTGCTGTATCCAAAGAGAAATGGGATGTAGTTAACGATTCCCACCAATGAGTGATGCAACCAGATCAGATGCTTTAATAATCAGCTTGTATTGAACCAGTTCAAACTGATAATTATTCACTTAGGTTTTCATTTCTTTAATGTTCCTCTAAAGTTTATCTCCCTATTTTCAACCTTCATTGTAATTTTAGTTCACAGATAGTTTTCTGGGTGTGGAGGTGGATTTGTTTATTTTTAGTGTGATGAGCCCATTCAAATCTAATGTTTTAGTACTACGTTTAGCCTTCAGTCTTTTTTTCCTTTTAACTTGTAGATTCTTATGATACATTAATTGAACAGCTGGTTAATAGTTTTTAGAATTAAATACAGTAGAAATTTTAAAAAAAAAGAAAGTAATGCTAGGTTCTGGAGAGATGGCTCAGCAGTTAAGAGCACAGTCCACTCTTGGAAAGGACCCAGGTTTGGTTCTCAGCACCCACTTGGTGGCAAACAACCATCTATAACTCCAGTTCCAGGGGCTCCATTGCCCTCTTCTGGCTCCTTTGGGCATGGCATGCATGTGGTACATTTACATACATGCGGGCAAAACATTCATAGACATAAATAAAAATAAACCAAAAATATTTTTTAAAAAAGCAATGAGAATAGAATTTTTTAAATTAAAAAATACATACTCTGCTTTTGACATCCTAAAGTGGAAAACAATGAAAAAATTTAAATAAGTAGAAAAGTTTTGGTGGTTTGGCCACAACTAAATGAAGCTTGTATAAAATATAAGGAAATGCACATATATTTTAATCTCTACCATGTTTTTATTCTTTGAGAATTTCATACATATACACAATGTATTTTGGTTTTGTTTTTATAACTACTTTATTTTTATTTTTATGTGTGTGTTTTACCTGCATGTATGTAAGTGCATCCATGCATAAGGTGCCTGTGGAGCCAGAAGAAGGTGTCAGATCCCCTGGAACTGGAGTTAAAGACAATTGTTAGCCACCATGTGATTGCTGGGAAGAAAACCCGGGTCATCTGCAAGAACAGCCAGTGCTCTTAACCACTGAGCCATCCCTCCAGCCCCTACATAATGTGTTTTGATCCTATTCACCCCCACTCCTCTCCTTAACTCCTCCAAGATCATCCACCCCCTACCACCCTCCTAATTTCATGTCTTTTTTTTTTTATAACCCATTGAGTCTAATTTGTGCTGCCCATACTTTCTTTTCCAGGATGTCACTATATGGGTGTTTGATCCAGAAAAAGCCGACATAGATGAATTGCTGTGGAATGCAGAGACACCTTCCCTGGTGAGTGCAAACATTGCCATAGGTCAGATCACATGCTACCTATCTGTTTTTGAGAGCCATGTATAATCTAGACTCATAGGGTGTTAAAACTGCCTGGAGCTAATTTGAAACATTGTTAGCATCCACTTGTTTGGTTTAGCCATCTCTTGGTATTTTGAAACCTTGCTTGATCTGTACAATTATAAACCCCTCTGTATGGCGCATTCTTCCTATCACTGTTGGAGAGACTGGTCATCAGTGTGCCTTAAAGATGCCCTGTGAGTGTCCCCACTGAAGCCATGCCTCAAAAATATGTCTACTACCTTAGGATTTCCTAAAGGTGTAACACAGGGACTAAATCGGCCTTTTATTTGTTGTGAATTTACCTCTCTCAAAATTTAAATTCTGTATTCTGTTACAATTAAAACATATTGAGGAAAACCAGTATACCAGTATAGACCATTATTTTCTCTCACGAGACCATCATATTGTAGTGTGTGAGGAACTCTGTGTGTGTGTGTGTGTGTGTGTGTGTGTGGTTAGTCAAGGTTCTCTGAAGGAACATAACTAATAGAATACACACACACACACACACACACACGATTTATTAGGTTGGCTTACAGTCTATATATAGTCTAGGTAGTCCAACTCAGTCACCCACTAGAGAGCCTGAGAATCTGGTGGTTGTGCAATTCATGAGGATGGATGTGTCCCGATCTGGCATTGAAGGGCTGGATGATTCCCGTAGAGTTGCTGGTCTTCAGTTTATGTCGGAACCCAAAGAAGTTGAATCTGATATTGGTGAAGGAATGCCACAGCAACAGAATAGATAAACTCTCCAGTGAGGGAGAAGGCAAGCAGGCACAAAGCAAAAGCTCCCTTCTGCCATATCCTTTTATCTGGGCTGTCACCAGAAGTTTCCACCCACGTTTAGGATGGGTTTTCTAGAGTCAAAATCTGATCAAGAAAATCCCTCATTTCTTAGTTAATTCCAGATCTAGTCAAGTTGACAAGCAAGATTAGCCATCACAGTGTGTATGTGTGTATATATGTGTGTATGTATAGTATCTGTGTATGTGTGTGTACATGTGTGTATATGTGTATATGTGTGTGTATGCACACGTGATATGTTGTAGGGAGCATGCCACTACATGTGTGGAGGCCAAGGGACAACTTTGTGGAGTTGATTCTTTCTGTCCACCTTTATGTGTGTTCTGGGGATTAAACTCAGGTAGTTAAGCTTGCTTGGCAAATGACTTACCCTCTGAGTTGTCTCACCAGCCCTTAGATTTATTTTAACTGACCTCAGAGTCACTAATTCTTTCTAATGTGGTCTTAGACCCATTCACTTACATATTCATATCAATGGTAGAGACATATTATTTTGTTAACAGATCTCTTATTTGACGTTGATAGTTTCTTACTACCTAAAAATGTTTTCACTTTTTAAAAAATTATTTTATGTGTATGAGTGTATTGCCTGTATATGTACAAGTGCACCCATGTCATGCAGTGCCCATAGAGGTCAGAAGAGGGATTCAGATCCACTAGAACTGGAGTTATGAATGGTTGTTAACCATCATGTGGGTGCTGGGAATTGAACCCAGATCCTCTGCAAGAGCAGTGTGTGCTCTTAACTACTGAGCCATCTCTCCAGCCTCACATTTATTTTTTAATTGAACACAGTATCCACATTAAAATGGAAAACCAGTGTGGGATAAATATTCATGTTTTATTGTGTTTAATAAATACAAGAAAGATGTCCAGCTATGAATCCACCCTTGGAATATGGACATCAGTGCCCCGTCTCTTCCTCTGTTTTGAAAAAGTTTTTAAAGCTGGGCATGGTGGTGCACGCCTTTAATTCCAGCACTTGGGAAGCAGAGGCAGGAGGATCTCTGTGAGTTCAAGACCAGGCTGGTCTACATAGTGAATTCCAGGCCAGCTGGGGCTGGAGGGAGATCCTGACTCAAAAAGACCAAAAAAAAAAAAAGTTTTGAAATATAAGGTTTGCAGTTTCTCACCTTGCATTCATTTTTAAAATAAAGCTTTTATTTTAAAATGAGTTTACATTTACACAATTATTGGACATACTGTCCCCTATCATTCTCTTATACTTGTATATTTGTCACAATTATTGAACAAATATTGACACATTGTTTTCAGCCAAAATCCACGTTTATAATCTTCTTTCCTCAGTTTTCCTAGTCTTCCTTTCCTGTTTCCAGATCCCATTCAGGATCTCATTATGTTCAGTCTTGTCTCCTCGTGAGTACTTCTTGGTTGTAACAGTTTCTAGACATTTTTATGACTTTCACAGTTTCAAAGATTCCTGGTCAAGTATTGTACAGAATGTCAATAAACTGGGATTTGTCTGAGATTTTTCTCATAGTAAGAGTGGAACTAGATGTCCCTAGGAGAAAGATCACCATGGTCCAGAGTTGTTCCCATGACATCATTCCAAGGATCCATGCTGTCAGTGTGACTTGTCAGTCAGCATCACCCCTCATGGATTTGTTTGAGGTTGTGTCTTCTACTGGAAACTTAATTTTCTTTTTTTAAAATATTTTATTATTTTAATTTTATGTGTATAAGTATGTTGTCAGCATGTATGTAAGTGCACCCATGTCATGCTAATGCCCACATAGGTCAGAAGAGGGTTTTAGATTCTCCTGGAACTGGCGTTACAGATGGTTGTTAGCCACCATGTGTCCTCTGTAAGAGCAGTCAGTACTCTTAACCTCTGAGCCAAATCCCCAGCCCTGGAAACTTAACTTTCTATTCTTGCTTTCTCTCTTGTTCTCACTATGCGGTGTCATTCCACTTTCTTTTTTTTCTACATTTATTTATTAATTCATTCATTGTGTGTGTGTACATGCATGTGCATGTGTACATACATGCCACAGTGTGTGTGGGGGGGTTTCAGAGGACAAGTCTCCTTCCAGCATATATGTCCCAAGGATCCAACTTAGATGGCCGAGCTTGATGGGAAGTTCCTTTAACTGCTGGCGCATCGTCTTGGCCCCTCATGCTCTTTCACTTTTTTAAATTTAAATTTTATGTGTTTGAGTGTTTTATTAGCATATATGTAAGTATACCACATTCATGTAAGGGCCATGGAGGCCAGAAGAGGGCATTCGATCCCCTAGAAATGGATTTAAAGTCAGTTGTGAGCTGCCATGTGGGAGCTGGGAACCAAACCCAGGTCCTCTGCAAGAGCAGGTAGTGCTCTTTTTTTTTTTTTTTCAACAGAGCATAAGGTAGTGGTTAATTTACAGAAGAGTGGGAGTCCCACATTTACAGCTTTGCCATAAAGTCCACACTCAAATACAGATCCTGTGACCTCCCGACAGCCATACAAAATTGTGAGAGAGGTTCCTCTTGGTGTTCTGGGCGTCTATGTCCTTTGCCCCTTCCCCCACATGCAGCTAAGGTTGACCGATTGGGTGGGAGGGGTAACTGACTCCCCCTGGACTCCTTGGTGAGTGTGGAAGGAGGTGTGACTACAGCTTGCCAGCAGAGTGGTCAGAGGACACTTCCAGTTGACACCCCACCCCTTCCCCTGGCTCTTACAGTCTTTCTGCCAACCTCTTCCGAAAAAGTCCGAGCCTTGGAGGGGTGGTAGGTGTGGGATGATCTTCCTCCCATTGAGGCAAGGCACTGAACTTTCATGTCTCTGCAGCGTCTGTTCTCCATGGGTTTTGGCCAGTTTGGGGATTCCATCTACACCACGAGGAGGCCAGACCCATACCCAGGCCGTCTCCCGGTTTTTTTTTTTTTTTTTTTTTTTTTTTTTCATTTTTATAGAACATATTTGAGTCAAATTTGTGTCCCCACGTGTCCTTCAGTGGGGATGCACCCACTGGATCCTGGTAGGGTTGGGGTTTCTTAACCCAATTCCCAACATCTATGCCTGCATTTTGTCTGACATGAGCTTACATGGTACTCGTATATGTTGTCACCACTGCTGTGAGTTCATATGAGTAACTTCCCTGCTGTCTAGAAAACTCTGTTTCCTTCTGGTCATCCACTACCTTTGGCTCTTACTGATAGGTAAAAAGTTGGCAGAGAACAAGCGAATGGAGGAGGAGGCACCAGGACACAGATAAAACTCCATCAAAATAGGGTTTATTAGCAAAGGAACACATGGGAGAGATTCCCTTCCTGGCAGGGAAAATGTCTGCTGGGGTCTTTTTAAAAGGGAGGCTTCTGCTTCCCGAAGAAGGCGGGAAGATGTATTTTTTTAAAGTTGGGTAGGGGGGAAGTGGGAGAGTGGGACTGTTAAAACCTGTCCTCTTTAGAGATCAAAGGGGAAGCCTACTGTGTTGGCCAAACAGTGGAGAAAAGTCTGCTTCTCTTGACTTCAAAGACCAAGGTGCTTATCAGCGAGGTTCCCTTTTCTCAGGAGCTTGAGAAGTCCTTGGGATCCTGTTGGTGAGGGGGCAGGGCTATCTGAACCTTAACACTTACAATCTTTCTGTCACCTCTTCTGCAATCATCCCTTAGGCTTTGAACAGCCACTGCTCTTAACCACTGAGCCATTTCTCCAGCCCTCCACTTTCTTAATAAAGGGGTTTACAACTGGACTCGGTGGCACATGCCATTGATCCCCACACTCAGGAGGTAGAGGCAGGCAGAACTCTGTGAGATTCAGGCCAGCCTGATCTACATAGTGAGTTCCAGGCCAGCTGGGACTATAGGGAAATGCTGTCTCAAAAATTAATAATAATAATAATAATATAATAATAATAAATGAATAAGTTTACATAATTAAAAATTCTTCTGTGTGACAGAACTATCTGTTACCCTGGCTGGCTTGTTCAGTACTTTGCTTGTACCAATGTGGACTCATACTTGTGTTGTGGGTTACAGCGCATACTTCTCTGTTTACTGAGAACTTACTCATTTGGCTAGTCTGTCCCTTTTGACATATTCCCATCATTGGTTTGATCTGATTTTAATACTTTTTTTTAACTTTCTGGCTGTTCTAATTTGCTTTTCTGATGCTATAATAAAACACT